TATACATATATATATATATAATATATATATATATATATATATATATATATTCGCTGATTGAAATTTGGTTATTAATACTCTTGATTCCACTGCTGTAATATCTGCTTTGATGACTGATTATATTATTGACTGATTATTTAATTTTCCAGTAATCTATCGTTGTTGTTTCCATCGGCGGCACCTCTCGTCTCCATGGTAGAACGCAATCGTTCGTTGTGGGAAGTGGCTAAAGTTTTGTTCCAAAAGTATTCTAAAAATGGTTTGAAAGGAATAGATATTTTACACGATCCCAACTTCGAAGACGAAGTACTCGCAATATTTGCTCAAGAAGGACACTGTTCCGCTGGGAATTTTGACGAATGCAGATCATAAAGCGATCATGAATATTTTATAAGTAACGTTCGAGAGAAAGCTCCAGAGTCTAACAACATTCACCATTTGAAAGGTGTATGTAGGAATTACGATATAGAATAATAACAATTATTCAAATAACATTTTGTTCATAATATATGATAAACTTTGTTGTTTTTGCAGCATAATATAAAAAAAAATAATTTTATGATTTGATGCATTTTTATATGGAAACACTTAAATGTAAGCAATAAGTTAATTCAAAATCAAAATATAACTTTACAAGCAATGAGTTAATTTCATTTATTATATAAAAATAGACATAAATTACTACTTAAATAATTCAGCGAAAAAACCAGGCAACTATTAAATATATCTTGTGTACTGTTGCTTTTAATAATTTTTACTACATATTGCACATCACTGTCGATTATAAATATACTTAAAAGATATCTTGACATTTTAGAATTCTTGTTACTAATATTTATCACAATAATTTAGGTGTATGCACATAATGACTTTTGCAGAGAACTTTTCCTGGCTTTGTACTTCACCAATGGATATATATAATATTTTGTATATTTAAATAATACTATATATTAAATGTGATATAAATCAAGAGAGGTGCTGTTTACACAATTAGAAATATGTATAAAACTAATTAGCATTTGTAAGGATATGTGATAAATAAAAGAATGTGATAATAGATTTGTTTTTAGCTGGATTGATGTTTTGATGCCAGATATGTATACTATTCATTTTTTAACAAATTATATTATGTAAGCGAGAAACCACAAATGATATTTAAGCCTACGGCACACGGTACGTGTTTTGCTGCTAATTTAGCTAATAGATTCCTCGCGCACTGCGCTATGGGCTGCGTTGCGTGCTGATAAGATGGTAGTGCTGCTAGTTCGCTTCACATGACAGACGTAGATCTATTCTTTTTAGTCACACTAAGTTGTACTTTGTACTTTTTATACTGACCTAAAACCGACATTTAGCTCAAATTTTTCTTTTATTTTCTTTATTTCTTCTTTCTAATAATAAGAAAGGATCTATTGATGCCAATTTTTTTCTTGCGACTTCCATCATTATAAAAAATATTAAAAATAATTATATATATATATATATATATATATATATATATATATATATATATATATATATATATAT